AATTTGATGCAGAACCAAAAATGTGGAAGACAGAATCAAGATAAATGTATATTAATTATAGAAAATCCTAGGTATGGAATTGAGAATCTTGAATCTGAAATTCCAAAATAATGGTCTGGAAAATGAGAAAAATGGAATCTGGAATCCAATAAGATATGAAACCTCAGGGCTGTAGCAAGGGGACAGGCAATGGGGGCATTCCCCACCCCCCCTCCCCCCTCCCTCTCCCATTCCAAGTGCAGCCAAACAGAACCAGAACACACCAGCTTAGTGACTACCCAGGCAGTTTTGTTTTTATCATTTATTTGTAAGTCCCTATTTGTAAGCTAGAGGATCCAAACAATGTAATTAAATGCAATCCAAAATCCTGTGAGCAAGCAAACCAAAAATGTGTTTGGGGCAAATGAACATTTGGCTGTCTTTCTATATGTATGGGCGTGGCTTAAAATCTTGACATTCTAGGCTCAGGACGGTAGCAAGGCTAACAATATTGGGGGCCTCACGGGCTCTCAACAGACGACTTGCACATCTCGGCATTTGTAGGGAGGCGGAGTTTCAGCTCATAATAAGCGAAAAAGGAGAAATGGCATTAGATATAAAAATGAATGTTTTATAAGGATTTGTATGGTGAAATGCATTGGATGGCAAAAGCTTACCAGCCAACACTTTTCCCATACAAATCCTTGTAAAATATTTGATTTTACATTTAATGTCATTTCTTCTATAGTCAACATTTCGAGCTGAAACTTGGCCCTCTTACTAAATTTAAGGTGCTGTTTTCATTCCTGGAGTTCATTTTGACTCATTTGCCTTTTTTTTTTGCCTTGCTACCGCCCTGAACCTGGAATTTCAAGATAGAAATCTGGAAAATCTACTGGAATCCAAGACACACTCAGAGTCCAACATCAAGTGCGGAATGCAGTATATTGACTACTAGATAGTCCTGTTATTGCCCTTAGTATCTCTATCTCTCTGATGTAAGAATTAATATACTGGCTTGCAGATCAGGGRTGCATACCATTTAACCCAATTCATTTTGTTGGAAATTCGTTTGCTAATGGAAGAAAAGAGCGGGAAACTATGACTTCCGACAAGTAGTACACGCGTTCACCGGAAGAACTGAAAAGAGCGGGAAAAGTGAATACCTTCAATCGGAAGACCGAGTTTCCCGGAACTTTCCTCTCGGAATGACACACACCGTTTGCTTTCCGACCGGGAATTCCGGTTTTTCCTGGTAAATGGTGAGCACCCCAGATCGAAATGCTCTTGTTATTTCCCTACCCCACCCGCTTTCCTTCTTTTCCGGTTTTTTTTTTCATTATTGCCAGATTATGTAATGAGGGACAATTCAATTTTGTGATCTAGGACTGTACCAACAGTTTTATGTGGAGCAAAGGAAACTACATCAAGGTCTTAAATTGCTTGGAGAAAAATTTGGAGAAGATTATTACAAGGACCTCCCACTGTCTGTTGAGTTAGAGGTAGGTTATGTTAGGGGACCTTTCATATTTTTATCGAGGAGGGTGGGGGGCAGTGGGAATATSTGCACCCCATTCAAGAATTTTGACCCCCACTCCGTTTTTGCCGCATAAGAAAATGGCTGTGTTAATCGGATTTGTTTTCTAGAGCCTGAGGTCCCTGGGGAGCTGTCGTATTGTTACCGCGGGTTTTGGATATTATTATTACTGCTGTTGTTGTTGTTTCTGCTTTTCTTATTGCTGCTTTTTCTTGAAAGCTGTTGTTGTTGCTGCGTACTGTTGTTGTTGTTCCTGCTGCTGCTGCATTCTTGGTAGCTGTCATTCTTGTGCAACTACTGTTTTTGCTGCTTTTCTTAAAAGCTATTGTTGTCATGCTGCTGCCTCCTTTGCTGAAAATTGTTGGTGTTGCTGACGTCGCTGTTTATTGCTGATGGTTATTCTTTATGTGTTCTTAATCTTCAGGAAAGTATTATACTGTTTGGTCAAAACAAGTTGGATGAATGCAAAAWCACTGCTATGAGGGTGCTTGAACGTGCCATAAACACTCCGAACGGTCTCTTTTTAATGGCCAAGGCCCATTACATTATTTCTGCTATTTACAGACAATGGGGCGACTTTAAAA